TCGGTCGATCGGTCGCTTCTCGTGCCACCGCTGAGCTCAATCGAGATGCGATGAACCTTCTTGGTCATTCTCTCGCTTCTGAAGCTGGTGGCAACACCCGCTGGGGAACTCATGGGGAACTCGTTTCAGGCGGGGCCCCTGAGTCGCTCCAGCATGAGATCCCTCGCTGCAGCAATTGCAGTCGCTTCCTTCCCCTGGACACCGTCGTCACAAACGGAACTCTGTGTGGAGTATGCTTGCACTATAGTTCGTCTGTAGGTGCCACTGGGGCAGGCGGCGCAGAGGCCTCGGACCTCGCGTATCTGCAGGAGCTATACGAGTGGATCACGACCAACCTGTTTCAGACCGAGGTGGACCGCTTCCTCGTGGATGGCACGAAGATCTACTTCGGGGGACAACGTTCGGCAGATAATGATCCGTGCAACAGGTTGAGGAGAATGGCGAAGAAGGCCGAGGAGAGGTACAAACTGTGGTGCGAAGCGGGTTGTCCACCTGCCAGCGAATGCCAGCTTGTGGGCGAGCCCGACGACCATCGCAAGTTGTAACAACCCTACCAGAACGTCCTTCAGCGTTTCCTCAACGAGTCTCGCTGTCACCACCAGATGACCGAAGCCCGTGAGGCTACCGGCGAGATACCCTGGACCGAGGAGGACATGGGCTGGGCTTGCGGGCTTGCGATATCCATTATCGCAGCCAGGCCCTCGGCCTCGCCGGTCGCAGGAACTGATGGTTGAACGAGGGCAGGATGGACAGGCGCACCCGGCAAGAGCGCGGTCTGGTCACGATTGCGGTGCCCCGCGGGGACGGCACGTTCGACCGGACTACGCGTCGTGATCTTGCTAAGGCTGCTTCCGCCCCGCTTGCCTTTGGACATGACATCCCACGCGCCGAGTGGGGAGGTAAAGGGCGATGGGGGGAAGAGTGCAGGGGTTGGAACCCATCCTAACTCTAACCCTCCACCTACGACCTCCTTTCGATGCCATGGCGCAGCCGCCTCGCGATGGCCCCGGAGCCGCCGCTGCTCCGCGCGCCCCAGGCGCGCCCACCGCGATGCCCGCTGGGCTGGGCGGCGACGCCGCCGCCGCCACCCCTCCGAGCGGCTGGCAGGCAGCCAGCAGCAGCGCTGGCCCAGCGGCTCTGCGCCCAGCCGGACCGCCAGTCGAGGGCACGCGTGCGCCGGCGACGCTTCCGCGCACCAAGCGGGCGCGCATTGCTCAGGGGTGCGCCGCCCTCTGGCGCAATTACCTCGAGGGCAGCGAGTGGGGCCCCAGGTACTGGGGCTACTACAACAACTGCTGGATCTACATCGCGGAGAACGACGACGAGTTCGTGCGTCTGCGTGACATCCAGCGCAACCCTCGCTTCTACGACTGGTACGAGCGGACCGCGTGGGATACGTGCAGGATCAGCTACGTTGGTCCTGATGGCCGCCGCGTCTGGGCCAGCGAGGTCTACCCGCGCGGCAGCGCCTACTGATGTCGGCCGCGAGGCCCACTGCTCGAGATCGCCTGAACTTAGCCGTCGCGGAGTTCGTCTCGAGCAGTACAAGACACAACATTTTTGGCCACTTCACTACTATCGGCAAGTGGCGTCACAAACATGTCGGCGATGTCTATGGCGGGCTCCTTAGGGGCACTGCCGCAGAGACTCACCCGACACAACGTTTGCTCATGTACTTTTCGTGTTCATCAACACGATATTGAATTCAATTTACTTATATAAACCTCTGCGCGACAGCTCCTGCATTACAGCTGGCGGAGCATTGACTGAATTGAATCGGCTCACTTTTATGTTGATGCCGGTGGCAACGCCCGCGTCCTATCCTCGTCGATAGGGCTGGACGCAGCGGCTTCAATGTTTGCTGTCATTTCCTCAGTTCCTCTTGCTCCTCTCATCCGTGTCCCATTCGTCTCCTCCCTCGAGTGCCGAAGCGTTTTTTTTTTGCGGGGCGCACCGAGGGGCGCCTAGAGGGTGTTCGGAAAGGACAATGGACACTTGGATGCTCCTTCGCTCCTTACCTTGCCCGTTCACACTTTGCAGTGGCGCTGGACAATTACACAGGCGGGCCCTGCCGGCGTGTTCGGGGCATGTGCGTTTTTGAGGAGTAAGAGGGTGACAGGTTATTTCTTCCTGTTTCCCGATTCCTGCCCGCGCGGGCAGGATTCGGGACGGGGGGTGTGAAAGGAACCCGTCTCATACCCTCATTTCTACTCCTCGTTCGCCCTTTTGCCTGCTTTATCGGCTCGGGTACTGGAAGAGACCAGGGCGCTGGTCGCACAGGAGGAAAAGAACCCAATCTTCCCCTCCTTCCTCTACCTACGGATCAGGGGTTCTGTACCTTTGTACCTTAACCCCATGCACAGGTTGTTGGTTTGAGCGGTCGTAGTGGTGCCCTTTGTTGCGAATGCTGGTTGGCTTGGGCGTCTTATGCTCTAGGTGACGCGGCGTGGCTCGTGTGTGGGCTCGGTGTGTGCTGGCGCTGCTGAGCGATATCCGTTTCGATGTTGGCTCAAGTCTTGGCGAGTCGCAGGTTGTCGTCATGTCATTGTTGTGTCTGCTTGAGCGTGGCCTCGGAGATCTTGGTGCATGCTGTGTGGTCGTCGTTGAGTTGTCTTATGTATTGTAAATGTTCGCGCAGCGGCTTCCGGTCGAGTAGCTGCCTTTCATTACTTGCTAGTTCGCTGCGTAGGTTATCTGCTCTTTGGTCGGCCTTGTCAACTGTCAACATTTGCGATGTTCGTTTCCTGATGTTGGCAGGTTTCGACGTAGTCCATGCTCCCGTTTCAAGTGGTGTAATGCCGGGGCGGTCGTTGTTCTGCACATCGTTTTTGAATGCCTCTGGGATGCTGTCGATGAGCTCTGTGGCGTCTCTGTCAATGTCTGCTCTGTGGTCCGCGTTGTTGCCGAAATCGGGTCGTAGTTTTTGGTTGTCGGGTCGGTTGGTTGCTTGGTATTGTCGCCGGTGGGTGCTAGGTCTTGGTGTGGTGGGTTTTCTTTGGTTGCGGTTGTGTTGAGGCTGGTATGTTTCGTGCACGTTGTAGTCGTTGGCTTTGTTGTATGACCATCTGGTTTGGATTGGGCTGTAGTTTGAAGCGTGCGTGTTTTGTGTCGTGTGGCCTTTGTGGCCTATTGGTTGCCATGTTGTATTGTGGCCCTTGCCGTTTGGCTGCTGGTGGTGGTATTTTCTCTTGCCTTTTCCTCTGGCTTGGGGTGCTGGTGTTTGTCCGTATGCGTTGTCGGTCTGGTTGTACATGTTTTCTGTCGTGTTGCGTGGTGGTCGCTGTGCACGGTGGTGTTGGTTGAGAAGTTATTTTGCTGCTTGTATTTGCTGCTGTGTGGTTTGATCCAGCAATGATCATTCTGATGCAACGCGTAGTAATGTGCGCGCTGCTGCTTCTATTTCCCTTTCCCCCCATCAGTGCCACGCTGGGTTGGGAGCTGTGGTCGGAATCGTGGTGGTTGTGAGGGCGTACGGCTTGCATGTCGAAGTCGATATGGGATGATTCCCGACCGCACTGGTATGGTTAGGCGTCTGATGCCGATGCCGATGCCGTGAACCCTTGTGCTGGCATAGCGTTTGGTAAAAGGGATAGCAAGACACCATACGTAAGTGGTATATTGGATGAGAACTCAGACAATGTATGGCAGAAAGGGTGTAAGGATGTGGCGGATCGATAGGGGAGGTTTCGGTCGTGGCTTGCCCCCTAATGCTGGCACACTGCCGCGGGAGTCTGGGCCCGAGGCTTCCTCCTCCTCCTCCTCCTCCTCCTTTTCCTCCTCGTCCACCTTTTCCTCCCTCTCCTCATCTTTTTTCCCTTCCTCCCCCAGGTGTTTTCCCAAAAGGGTTCCACAACGGCTGGGGCAACGCATAGTCCAATAGCTTGGCCAGACTTCGGCCCAACGTTGGGCTGCATGGGCGTTTCCAAAAGGCAGTGGGCGGCGGTGACTCGCCGTAGGCACGGAAAAATGTAAAGGTTGCGTGGCGGGGGGCCCAGCACTATGCAGTCACGTGTAGCGCAGGGAGCGGCCCTCTGTTCACATATTGCGCGCTGCGGGACAGTGTGGATAATAGGGGGTTGCTGCGGAGCAGGCGTGCGCAGGCGCGTTGAAAGTGTAGGGCACGCTGCGCGCGAAACGGGTGAAAAGAATCAGGTTGCTCCGCGCGAGCACGCCCGCTGAGGGATCCTATCCGACTCCAGCCCCGTCGCCGGCGACGCTGGCGCCGACGCCACCTCCGTCCCCGGCGCCAGCTGAATGCTGGGACTCTTCAGGGGGAGCGACTGGGGCCTTCATCTATGGAGCATGGCATTACTCGAGCTGCGAGCTCTGGACACAGTTTCCACATCATTGCGAACTGTCTGTTGAATATGACGACACCGACTTCACGGCCTCGGACATGTGTTGTGCTTGCGGAGGCGGCAACACCACGCAGGAGCAGTGGGACGTGACGGTAGAGCGGACTGGAGCGGTAATTGATGAGGAGAGGACGACGACGCAGACGCTTTGGGACGTGGATGAAGAGACGACAATGGAGGCTCTGACTGCATTTCAAACCAGCAGCCGCCAGTTGACGTTGATGACAAACATGACCGTCGACCAGGTGGGCGGCCTTCGGACGGTGGTCGCGTGCGACACTGGGTACCGCGACGTATGTGGCGGTATTGCAGTGTTCGACGCCTGCGGCTCGGTGTGTGTTAGTGGAACATACTGGGTCAGCACGGGATGCGAATGCTGTTGCCAGGTCGTCCCGGCTTTGGCAGCGACACTAACGACGCCAGCATCCACATTGGCATCGACACGAGCACTGACGGCATGTATCGACGCAGATAGTGGGGTGCCGGGTCCAGGTTTTCTTGATGAGTGCAGCGAGTGGTATTCTTATTCCGACTATTGCCATTATTCTGTCTACTACGACACCGCCGATTTCACCGTGAGTGCGATGTGTTGCGCCTGCGGTGGCGGCACAACGCAGGAAACGGCAACGACTTCAGCACCGACTGATGCACCGACTGATCAGGGAGCTTGTTCTGACACCGACAACGGAGCTGCAGATACATATGGGGATGATTGTGCTGCATACACGGGATTTCCATCATGGTGTACCTTCTATCCAGCTGCTTGTGGCAAGTCAAGCCACCATGCCAGCCTAGCATTTTGGGTGGCGACTGTTCGAGGGGGCACGGGAGGCCGTCATTTGTGACAGCTCGTGCCCCCAGGCTTAGGAGAGCCGCGGTGGATCTGCTGCTGCTGCTGATGATGACGACGACGACTCGGTGGGTCTGATGCTGCTGCTGCTGATGCTGTTGCTGCTGATGGCGATGATGATGATGATGAGGAGGAGGATGATGATGATGCGGATGATGATGCTGCTGATGATGATGCTGATGATGATGGTGGGACCGCTAGGTGGGCCTGATTTTGTCAATGGGGGAGGCGGAGGACAAGCCGGGCAAGGATCAGGGAGATGCTGATCCTGATGATGGTGGAAAGTGATGATGATGATTGTGAGGATGATGGCGACGATGATGGTGATACTGATGCTGATGCTGATGCTGATGCTGATGCTGATGATGATGATGATGATGATGATGATGATGATGATGACGGTGATGACGATGATGACGATAGTGCCGATTATGTTGTTGCTGCTTACGCTGATTAGCATGATGATGCTGATTTGTATGATGATGGTACTGATGATGCCTCTGATGATGATTCTGATGATGATGATGATGCTCATTATTTCGATGCTGCTGCTGATGATGGTGGTGATGCTGAGGAGGAGAAGGATAAACAGGAGGAGGAGGAGGACTACGATGTTGATGATGATGCTGAGGATTGTGATGGTAATGATGCTGCTGCTGCTGATGATGATGATGCTGATTGCGACGATGCTGATGACTATGATGATGGTGATGATCTGATGCCAACTATGATGCAGACGATGATGATGCTGATGGTGGTGATGATGCTAACGATGGTGCTGCTGCTGCTGATGATGATGATGATGATAATGATGACGATGCTGATACTTATGATGCGAATGCTGATGATGATGCGGATGATGCTGATGATGGTACTCTTGATATTGATTATGATGAAGCTGCTGCTGATGATGATGATGACTATGCTGCTGCTGCTGCTGATGATGATGCTGTTGATGTTGCTGTTGTTGACGAGGATGATGCTGATCACGAGGCGTGAGTTGCAGAAGGAAGGGGGGAGGAAGAGGAGGAGGAGCAGGAGGGGGAGGAGCAGGAGGAGGAGGAGGTCCGTTGCGATTTTGGTTCGAGATGGGAACAGGTCCCAATGCGAGCGGGCAGCTCCAGCCTGAGACATATAGTGCGTCGTGCACTGGCGGACATCCCTCTCCGCCTGCAGGAGTCGCGCCCGACGCTGCAGACCTCTCGTCTCTGCGTTGCTTCTTGAAGGGTGCCACTACCAGCGTAGTCGGCGCAAGATGGCCAATGGCGGAGACAATCATGGTTTCATCCCAGTCGAGCAGTCGTGGGTGGATGCGCTGGAGGCAATGCTCACATTTCCGTTGCAGCAGGGCATTGGCCCTCGCCCCTGTCCTGCTGATCCTCAGCGTCGCAGTCGCAGTCGCAATGGCCAGCAACTTCGCGGTGCAGAACAGGACCAGCCAACTCCAGCCGATCCGAACCCCGTTTGCGAGCTGCGCGGCTACGTGGGCGAGTCCAAGCGCACGGTGCTCTTGGCCATCCAACAAGTGCAACAATCGGTTACGGCACTCGCGTCTCCGAACCAAACATCCAGCTCTTCCCTCTCGCGGCAAGTCGAGCATCGAGTGGCACAAGTGGAAGCTGTTCAACGGCAGGTCTTTTCCCGCATGAAGACGATTGATAACAGCATCAAGCAGCTCCAAACGCTGCTCGGTGTCATGCAACCTGAGCAGCCGCAGCCCCCCGTTACACAGCAGGCGAGCAGCTGCGACCGCAAGCCGATCCATAGTTCGGAAGGTTGGTATGGTCATCTCCACCCTGCGCACTGGCCCGCAGGCTTGGGAGAGTGTCCATACGACCGATATCGAGAACACGCCGACCGAGGTCCACATCTCCAGTGACAAGTCACAGTGCCAGATACAACGCGAATTGCTTCTCAAGCAGATTCGCAGAGAGGATGCGAGTATTCATCCTGGGCGGCGGATCTTCGCCAACCAGGACAAACGGAGAGCTTTGGATTGCGTGGAAGCCCGTCATGCGGGTGGAGCCGCAGCAGACCAGACGTTCCAGTCATCGCGTGGGCCATGGACAACATCACGGCGCCCCAGCTCGACCGCCCCCGCATCGAGGCTGCCATCGCCTCATTTTTGCGAGGCCCAGAGCCAGTGCTAGGGAGCGGGTAGCACATCTCTCGGTTGTTGGCAAGGTAGTCTTGCCCTTCCTCGCCCTCTCTCCCTGGGGACATGGAATGCCAGATCACTAGTCCATCGCAACCTCTGCCCCCGCTCCAAGAAGTTTTCCCACCTCAGCCGATTACATGTTATAGGTGCTATCTATCATCAGTGTGCAAGAAGCCCGCGGGTCTCCTGCCGCGCACCAGGACTTCTGTGCAATCTTCTCAGGCCTACTCAAGCGTTCTCGACCTTCCCCCACGAGTGCCCCCACCCCGCGGGCGGCGTCGACACCGCCCTCCGCGACCCCTCCGATCGCCCCCCCCCGGCGGAAGCCGGAGGTCCTCCGAGGTTTTGATCCAGGGCGGAGTTTTGAAAGTCATTGTCAAGTTTTCCCAGCAATGTTCGCTACCACTACAGCGCGCGCAACCGCTGGCTGTCGGCGTCGCGGTCATTGGCGCGATCAGCGCTGGCCGCGCTCGTATCAGAGTATTCTGGTTGTCCAGGGCGATTTCACATCTCTGCTGCCCCGCCGGTTTTGGCGGCTTCTTTTGGCCCCCCTGACGATCTGGGGGCCGACGTCCAGGGGCCGAGTCTCGGGCGCAAAAATGGCGTCGGATGGGATCGGTGCTTCAAGGATCTCGTGGAGTTCGCAGTGGTGGAGCCCGCCCACTTCTGCGCCGCTCGAGGCGCCCTGTTCGCGATGGACAGGATCTTTGCATATCTTCCAGGCTGGGCGTCGAGGCGGCTTGACGCCGCGGCCGGTGTCGAGGGGCCCCCAGATGCGCTGGACTGAACTGTCTGACCATTCGGCCTTAGCGGCCCAGATTCGCCCGAGGAACCCGACCCCCGACTCCGAGACAGCGACCCACCCGAGATATACAGGATTCCAGCTCACGAGGCTTGACTCTCTAAGGTCATCGAAGTTGCCGACGCATCCGGGCCCTCCCCGCCTCTCCTGCTGGATGTCCACAAGCAGATGATGCGCGACGCTGCCAGAGCTGCGAGGGGCCAGTTGTTGTTTCGTTCGCCGGCTTCGTTGCTTTCGAAACTGATCGCGGTGAAATCTTTCAGCCGCGCAGGACTTCGTCCTCGGGGGCCGCCTCTTCTGGGCCCGCGGCGCCGCCCGAGAGTTCTCTGCCCGCGATCCGATCGCTCGAAGGGTTTCCTTCCGACAGGCGGCTGCAATTTTGGAATGGACCAACCGGCCGCGGCTGTGTGCAGATGCGAATTAGCGTGCTCTCATGCTGTAGCAGGGCCCCGTGCCCGCGCTGTCACCCGTGAAAATGAACGAGTTAGACTTCAGCGTGAACTTCGCGGCCTTCAATGCAGGGGCCGTCTGCGGGGCCGACTCAGCCGCGAACTACGTCTTCGCGGACTTCGACAGCATGTCGCTGTTCGCGCGGATCTCGGGGCCATCATCAGGGTTCTTGCCCACCGGTGGGGGCAGGTCTTTTCTGCGAAACCAGCCGGCGAGATGGCGGCCGAGGGTTATTCGAGGCGCTTTAGCTTCGACGCCGACTTGGGCGCGCTCAGTCCGCCGACAGAGCGGGGCATCCAGCGCCTGCTCGCATTGTCGCCGCCCTGTGCGCCGGGCCCCGACGGGCTGCCTTGCGCGGCTCGGTGATGCCACCCCTCGGCGACAAGGTCCTTTTAAAGAGTTCTCGAGTGGGCTCTCGGCGGGGGCCCCGTGCTACGCGGCTTCAACGAGCTCGAAGTTGCGCTCGTTCCCAAGGGTGTTGAACTGGGCCCTCCCGCTGATGAGTTGCTTCGCGGGCCCGCTTTTGCGCGCCCCTTGGGCCTCGCGAGCGCCGGCTGCAAAGTCCTCGCCAGTCTCCGCGCGAAGCCGTTACCTCGGCGGGCCCCCCATTTCGTTGACCCCACGCAGTGGGGGTTTGTTTGCGGGGGGAACCATGGCGAACGCATTCTAGAGCTTGACGCGTGAGCTAGGGTCGCAGGTCTAGGTGAAAGGGCCGATGCCGGCCTTCCCCTTTTCGTATCCATCTTTCGCGCGTGGAGCTTTCGCGTCTTAGCCGCCCTCCACCTCCCGCCTCCGACGATGACCTTCGTCCACCTCATCTGCCGAGGCCTCACCTGCGTCGCGCAGGTAGGAAGCATCTCTGCGTGGCTCTTCAACGTCGCGTCGGGGATGGCGAAGGGCTGCCCGGCCTCTGGTGCAATGTGCGCCCTGGCCACAAACCCGTTGATGTTGCAGTTCAATACTCAGATCAACATTCCGCGCGGAGGTGTCGCCCGTTGCTGCGCTGACGACGCAGGGGCAGGCCTATTCAGCATCGATGCGACTGAGATTGAGCCCGCGCTGCCGATCGAGTCGCCTCTTCAACACTGAAGGCCCAGAAGTGCTTCGTGACCCCCCTCAGCGCCTAAAGGGCCCCTGGGATTGCAGACGTAATCCGTGCTTGGTTGAGTGAGAATCACTCTGAGTGGACGGATTTTGAGATCACTCTTCCCCTCGAGCACCTAGGCATCAATTTAGGACCGTCCTTTAGCGACGACTCGCGGAGAGCTCCCCGCTATAAACTTGGCGGGCCTTCCTGCGCCCTCGCAAAGGTACGCGCCCCTCCAAATCTGGTGGCGTCACTTTACAATTCGCGAGTTCTCACAGCCCCATCTAATGCCCCCCAGCTCCTCCTCCGAATGTCTCCCAGTTCGCGCGGGGCAGGCGATGCTAGCCTCGGTGTTCGCCGGTTCTTTCTGCGGCATGACGCGAGGAGACATGTCCAATCTTCAGGTGGGTA